GAGTGGGGTGCAGAGGGGGAGGGGCAGAGGAGGGGTTGTGGGGACAGGAGGGGATGGGGAGGGTGGTTGTGGGGGTGGGGAGGGGTTGTGGTGGGGTGGGGGGTGGGCAGAGGAGGGATTGGGGTGGGGGAATGGGGGAGGGAGTGGGGGGGCAGAGGAGGGGTTGTGATTGGGGAGGGTGGTTGTGGGGGGAGGGAGTGGGGAGGGGGCAGAGGAGGGGTTGTGGTGGGGTGGGGGAGGGAGTGGGGAGGGGGCAGAGGAGGGGTTGTGGCGGGTGGGGGAGGGGGCAGAGGAGAGGTTGGGATGGGGGGATAGGGAGGGGGTAGAGGAGGGGTTGTGGTGGGGGGATGGGGGGGTAGGGAGGGGGCAGAGGAGGGGTTGTGGGGACAGGAGGGAATGGGGAGGGAGCAGAAGAGGGAGTGGGGTGGGGGCAGTGCAGGAGCCCCAGCCCCTCACCTGGGGGTGACCCTCAAAATACAGCTTTTTCCCCTGCCATTGTCCCCACCTTCTCTCCGCTCCATAATCCCTTCTCCTTCTGCTCCCCCCAGCCTTCCCCTGCCACAGAGCATCTCCTAGGCCACATTCCTCCCCCCTGCATGCCCCCCACTCCTTATCTGTGCCCCCCCGGAGGTCCACCCCGTTGACATGCTGATTTGGATCTAGCCGTGTGTTGGGGCTGGGTTTTGAGTGTGGCTTGTTCCAGGGGGGAAGGACACCCTTGTCAGGGGCTAGGAGTCAGGAGGCCTGGGCTCTCTGGGAGGGGAGTGGGGCCTCGCGGCATGCGGGGTCTGACGCTGCGTGGCTCCCCGCAGGTCTTGCAGGCCCGGGCGGTGCTAGGCTGGCGGCGCCATGTACAATGGGATAGGGCTCCCCACTCCCCGGGGCAGCGGCACCAACGGCTACGTCCAGCGCAACCTCTCGGCCGTGCGGCACAAAAAGGAGCGAACCGACTACAAGTCGGAGGAAGAGCTCAGGAAACTGGAGTCGTCTCTGGTCAAGAAGCCCAACCAGGAGATCCTGGACCATGAGCGCAAGCGCAAGGTGGAGCTGAAATGCCTGGAGCTGGCCGAGCTCATGGAGGAACAGGGGTACGTGTGGGGAGGCTGCACCGTGGCACATGTTGGGGGGACACATCGGGGGTGGGGATGGGACATGCGGGGTGTGGCGGGCAAACAACATGGTGGAGGTGGGATGCAGGGGGCACATGGTGGTGGTGGAGATGGGATGCGGAGGTTGTGGGGGGGCACAGATTGGGGGTGTGGATGGGAGGTGGGGGGGCACACACTGGGGTGTGGAGGGGAGGTGTGGGGGGAACACATTGAAGTGTGGATGGGGGACACACATTGTGGGAAGGAGGTGCGGTATGTGGGGGGGTACACATCGGGGTTGAGCGGGGCACATGGGGCTGGGAGGCGGGGGCTGTGGGGGGCACATATTGGGTGTGTGGATGGAGGGTGTGGGGGGCACATTGGGGGTGGGACATGGGGGGGCACACATCGGGGGTGGGAGGCTGTGGGTGAGGGGGGCACACATCAGGGGTGGGAGGACACACATCAGGGTGGGGGGCACACATCAGCATGGGAGGCGGGGTATGTGTGGGGGGTACACAGCTGGGGTTGAGCGGGGCACATGGGAGCGTGGAGGTTGTTGGGGGCACATCATGGGGGCAGGGATAGGACACGGGAGTTGTGGGGGGTGGGAGGCAGTGGACGTGGGGGGGCACACATCGGGGTGTGGGTGGGACGTGGGGGTTGTTGGGGGGCACACATCGGGGTGGGGATGGGACGCGGGGTCGTTGGGGGGCGGATATCTCGCGCTGTGGGGATGGCCGTAGCTAGGATGCCCCAGTCCATCTCGGGGAGAGGACAGGCAAAGGAGGCTGTGCCGTGCCATGGGGCGGGCCCGTTGATACAGTGGAGGGGTGCCTGGGGGCAGGGGCATGTGCCGTGGGTCCCATGGGGTGAGCACAGCGCCCCGTCTTCTCAGGCAGCGGCCCAGTGGCTGGGGCAGCCCTAGGGGCGGGAGAGCCCAGATCAAGCCCTCCTGTGAGGAGGGGACGTTGCCCTGCCTCTCTGCCCCCGGGCTGGTGGGTAGCGGCTGGCGCGGGCACTGCTGCCTGTCTGCCGGGAGGTGCCAAGGCCATGGGGGGGTTCACATTCCCCCCGCCTTGCTTTGGGGGCTGCCGGCGGTAAAGCCGGGCACTGGCCCGGCCTCGCTCAGGTGCCTTCGGCCAGAGTCCGGGGACACCCCGTCTCTCCCCGTGCTCCCTGACCCGCCTGGCTTGTCTCCCCAGCTACGCCGAGGGCGAGATCCAGGAGAAGGTGGCGACTTTCCGGCTCATGCTCCTGGAGAAGGACGTGGCGCTGGGCAAGGAGGGGGAGCAGCAGCCCGAGCAGAAGCCAGCGTAAGTACCCTGAGGGGGCACCCGCAGTGGGGCGCATCCCCCGGCACTGCCAGCTTCACTGGGCGGGCACCAGAGACAGGCTTCCCCTTCCCTTCCCACGGCACGGGCCTGAGGAGTGTCAGCCGGGGTGCCCCCAGCCCTGGTGCCCCTCACTCCTGACCCACAGCCCCCTGTCACCGCAGCCCTGCCCCCTCCAGCTCTGCCAGTGCCCCTCCCTCCCCCCCCCCCGCCCCCGCCACCCCCGCCCCGGGGCCCCCCCCCCCCCGGGGGGGTTTGTCCGGGCCCCCCCCCCCCCGGGGGCTCCCCCAGCCACTGGGCCGCTGCCTGAGAAGACGGGGCGCTGTGCTCACCCCGTGGGACCCACGGCACATGCCCCTGCCCCCAGGCACCCCTC